TTAAAACAAAACTAGTTGGAAAAATCGTAATTCTCTCTTAAAAAGCTACACCAATTAACCCCTATTATACCGTTTATTTCAAGTCGTATTATCAGTATTTCCTTCAAGCTCTGACGCTAGCACCCGCTTTCACATGACTCCTATTTAAGTTAGTAGTAAACAGAGGATAATACATGGGCGCGCGTAGATATGGAATACGTGATCGAGTGTTCAACTGGATATTTCACGAGTGAGCGCAGCGAATGAGTGAGATATAAAGTTGAACACGAGAAGAGATATTCCATATCCACAAGCAATCATGTATTATTTTGTTTATTAATTAAAAACACTGCATGACAACGACCTTTTCGACGATTTTCCGAGGATTTTCGCCCATTTTCCGAAGATTTCCGAAGATTATCCAAAAATTGTGCCACACCAACGTTCCCGAAGATTTCCGAAGGTTGCCGAAGATTGCCGAAGACTTTTGAGGAAGCGTCGAAGAGGTTTCCATCATACACCAACAAATTTAAGTACAGTTTAAGGTTCAAACAAGATATCAGTTAAGTCATCAATATCTCCACTAGTGAGGATATGCAAAATACGCCACCCGAATCCCGGATGTGGTGTATTTTCCACTAATAAAATACATTGTAAAACGCCATTGAGCTCTGGAAATGAGCGTTATATATAATTCATGCAAATTATTATATTATTATTACATAATAAATATCTCACGAGGAAAATCGATTTGCATAATCTGATCACCAAGTGCTACTCGTACAAAAGCAATCTGCATTTTAATATATACGATAGATACACCAAATCTAAAAATAGCTTGAGATGGATTACCTTAGGAATAAGTCCTTTATGAGGGATTAATGTCTTACCCTTCATCCTCTCTTTTTTTTCAATGTTCTATTATTCTTAATTTAACAGTGACTTGCCCGACTGGTTACTACCTCAACATCAGTAAAAACGAATGCCAAGAATGCCCCAAGGGGTATTACCAAGACAGTGAAGCACAGGTCGAATGTAAGAGCTGTCCACTGGGGATGTCAACAGTGGACAAACGATCACAAAACTCTTCAGATTGCAAAGGTAACTAATAAAGAATTGTCAGGATAGTCTGTAATATTGCGATATTTTTAGATTGTTACACTTTTGTATTGCAGGCTTTGTACTTTGCACTAGTAATAAGTTAAGCAGGGTCTCTTGATACTAGCCTAGGGCTGAAAGTTCCACATTGCAAAAATAAAGAGGACTTGACTTGACTTGATGACTGAGAACGAAATAAGTTGAGTTACCTACCAACTGCTCTCAGGTCACTGATATCAACTATCAGGTTTTTGGTAACTGAAGAGTCATGGGAGGTAATAGGGAATTATAAACGATTCTGTTTTACGTAAAGTACTTTATTACAGCTTTTTGCAAGAAAGGATTTGTCTCACCTACTGGTTTGGAGGGATGTTATCCTTGCGAAAAGGGAAAGTATCAGAATCTAACTGGCCAGACAGAGTGTCTTGCTTGTGGAGGGAACACGACGACCTCAGGAGATGGTGCCACAAGCAGGAGCGATTGCGCAGGTATAAACCAGTAGAAATCTTTTATTTCAAATTCCACGAGACGCTAGGTGGAACTCTCTCACTTTTAAAATTACATTCAGATTGGCTTTCAAACCTTTCGGGAAAGAAGAAAATTTTGACAAGTAGACGTTTGAAAGCTTAAGGAATTGTGTTATATTGTATACGTCTAGCGTTATCTGGTCACGCTAAGACATGGCCTTCCTGATACACATCTACACAGGATTCATGCTTTTTCACTGTGTTTGTTACTAAATATAGGTGTATTTAAAGTAATGCATGGCTTGCTTGCGAAATAGACACACCAAATATTTAGACCCTATAAAGAATGCAGAAAGAAAATAAACCGTGAACAACCGAGCCATAACAAAGTCGACTGTTGACTCGCTAATACCCCCAAACAGTCGCCACCTGAATGTTTAGATGCAGATTTTCATTTTGATCATTGTTTTCACATCGTTCACACACATTGTTAAGAGCGTATGTCTTTAAGAAAGGGAATTTCCTGTGATATTGCTTTACATTCAGCGGGAAAAAATCTTTATCTACTTTTTCAGAACCTTGTCAGCCTGGAACCTTTTCAAAAACTGGTCTGAAGCCCTGTGTACCATGCAACAGACGATCATACCAACCCAAATTTGAGCAAAAGAGTTGCATTAATTGTTCTGGAACAAAGGCTACTCTTCAAAGTGGCTCAACTAGTTCTTCAAGCTGCATAGGTATGTTTGGGTTGTTATGCCGTGCCTAAAATCTGTGTCTCACGATTCTTGATGTTTTAAACAGTCAGCATTACACAGTTAGATGGAATATGCTAAGTTCGGTACACCTGTTTTCTTTACAGAAATAAATGAGTGCGATTCCAATCCATGCATAAACAATGGTAGCTGTACGGATCTTATAGCAGATTTCCGCTGTACTTGCATCCCTGGCTTCACTGGTGAACAATGCGAAGTAGACATTGATGAATGTGCCAGCTTTCCATGCCTTAATAAAGCCACATGCAAAGATCAAATAAATGATTTCGCTTGTGATTGCATCCCTGGCTTTACTGGTAAGACCTGTGATCAAGATGTCGGCAAGTGTGAGTCTAATCCGTGCTTAAACAATTCTACTTGTGAAGATCTTGCCAATACGTTTAAGTGCCACTGTGAACCAGGCTACGTTGGAGAAAAGTGTGATCTAGAAGAGGATGAATGCAAATCTAATCCGTGTCTTAATGGCGGCACTTGCATTGACAAATTCAATTCTTATCAGTGCAAGTGTGTCACAGGATTTAGAGGTCGAAACTGTGAAGAAAACATCAACGACTGTTTACCAGAAAACCCTTGCTTAAATGGAGCTACTTGTATTGACGGTGTTAACAGCTACAAATGTCAGTGTGAGGCAGGATTTATTGGTGATCACTGCCAAACTGATATTGATGAGTGCTTCTCTAGTCCATGCCAAAACAACGGAAGCTGCTCAGATCAGACCAATGGCTATTCATGTTTGTGTCCAAGAGGGTTTTACGGAAACGACTGTCAATTTGAAATCAACGAGTGCGCCACAGAACCATGCCAAAATAACGCCACCTGCATTGATGGAGTTGGCCAATATATTTGTCGATGCCTCAAAGGATTTGATGGAATTTCGTGCGAGCAAAACATTGATGAATGTAGCTCTGGGCCATGCTCCAACAATGCTTCATGCATAGATGGTTATGGAGATTTTACTTGTGACTGCTCTCCCGGTTTTTCTGGAAAAACTTGCAACATTGACATTGATGAATGTCAGTCGTATCCGTGCTTGAACAACGGTTCCTGTTTAGACGGGATTAACGAGTTTGAGTGTCATTGCGTTGAGGGATTTAGTGGTACCCACTGTGAAATTAACATTGACGAGTGCGAGGGACGCCCATGCCAGAATGGTGGAACTTGCTTTGATGGTATCAACGAATTCCAGTGCAACTGCAGTCCCGGTTTTACGGGACTAGAATGTGAAACGAACATCGATGAGTGTGCTGAAAGACCATGCATAAACATGGCAACCTGCTTTGACAGAATAAATGACTTCGAATGCAGCTGTCTTCCAGGTTATACCGGAAAAACCTGTAGCGTTAACATTGATGAATGTGTTAGCCAGCCATGCCATAGTAATGGGACATGTACTGATCTTGTTGACGGTTTTAGCTGTGAGTGTTCTGCCGGGTTTACTGGAAGCCAATGCGAAGTGAACATTGATGATTGTGCAGAACACAATTGCTCTGTGTTTGCAACTTGCATTGATGGCATAGATTTCTACCATTGCAATTGCATCCCAGGATATACAGGGCAATTATGCGAAAAAGAAATAAATGAATGCGACTCCTTCCCTTGCGCAGACGGTTCTACTTGTATTGATGAGGTAGGTTATACCGTTACGCAGAATATATAGTTTTTAATATCAACAACGCAAGAATAAACCCATGTTAGTAAAATAGGAGCGCTTGTAGAAAATTTGGACGACGCAAGTAGATGGGTAAGGAAAAACACATGCCAGAGCACACCATCCCTTCTTGCATTGCGTGTCTCTGTTAACCATTTATAGCGCCAATGTGTTAAACCAATTTATTCGATTAATTAATTCAATTTTCATCAATGAATCATGCAAAGGTTAACGACTACACCTGTGTCTGCGCTGGAGGGTTTTCTGGGAGGAATTGTGAAACGAACATCGATGACTGTGAGGCAAAACCGTGTCAAAACGGAGGACAGTGTGTCGATCTTGTGTCAAACTTCACCTGTTCCTGTCCAATGGGATTTTATGGAAGCCTCTGTCAACATATGATTGATTACTGTCTTGAGGCAAATTGCACTAAAAACACAAGCAATTGCGTGAACCGGCCTGATGGGTTCTATTGTAACTGTTCTGCTGGATTTGAAGGAAGCATTTGTGAGATTGATATTGACGAATGTGCGTCAAACCCGTGTGCAAATGGTGCCACATGCAGCGATAAACTAAATGGATTTTCCTGTCGCTGTACATCAGGGTTTACAGGCGAGCAGTGTGACGTAAACATTGATGATTGCGTAGAAAACAGATGTGCCAATAATGCAAGCTGTGTTGACCATGTCTCCTGGTATTCGTGTTCATGCTTAAATGGATTTGACGGAACATTTTGCGAAAATGATATCAACGAGTGTAGTTCATCCCCTTGTTTAAACAATGGCACTTGTGTTGACCTCGTTGCTGACTTTCAATGTCTTTGCCCTGGCAAACTTTTTGGAAAGTTTTGCGAGATTAGCAATAATCCTTGTGAAGCATTTCCTTGCTTAAATGGCGGCAACTGCAAACCCATTAACGCCACTGCGTTCAACTGCACATGCGTCGTGGGCTTCACTGGAGAGATATGCGAAGAAAACGTGAATGACTGCTTGTCCACCCCTTGTCCATTGAACTCCCACTGCGTCGACTTGGTTAACGATTACAAGTGTGTGTGCCATTCATCGCATACTGGGCCCGATTGTAGTATAGGTAGGTTTACTTAGCAATTACATTGTGAGGTCGAGATTTCCAGGACGCAGACCGAATGATTTAAATGTTTTGATGTAAATTCAATAGTCATTCAAAACTTTAAGTCCTCTTCACATGCAGACGCTTCGAAAACGCAAACAAGCGGCCGCCATTTTGTTAGCAACCGCAAACTGCTACTTAATCACTATTTACTTAACAATTGGATTATGACCTCGATATTCAGTCTATTTATTTCTCTGTCGAGGACCTCTCGGTCGATAGTTGCCCCACGGAAATTTGATGTTCTTAAAACAAATATTTGTCCAAGAAGCGAAGCTTCGAGTGTAAAACTATCAGGCCGATAGTTCCGAGACATAAACGCACTATTATTTTTATTGCTCACCACTAAATTTTCTTCCGCGCGCCAGTTCAAAAACCAAATTGAATCATTTTCAACTTTTCTGGATGAAAGCGGTTAAAGCGAAATGTAAAATATAAAAATGAAAAGAGACAAAAACCCACTTAATTGAATTTCAATTGATTATTTTCTTTAAGCCCGCTTGTTTACAGAAACATTTTCACGGACGAGTACTATCCATGCGGGTATTTTCCTCGAACGGGCTCTATGGGCTGATAGTGTCTCTGCGCGGATGAACACTATCGCGTCACGCGATCAATTTAAGCCCCTTTTGCCTCTGATTCACTTATTATTTTAACTTGAACACATGAATTTTATACACTCAATTATCTCCTCTTACTCGATTTTTTATGACAGCTCTTGGCGACAACTTTGATATACTGTTCAATCGCAAGACGTCAACAGATGTTGTAATTGTTGCTGACGAAGGAAACAAATCGAATTTAGCCAACATAACCATAGCTTTCTGGCTGAATGCCGATGAGAATTACCACAATGGTACACCTTTCAGTTATTACGTGCCAGGNTGCGTCAAACCCGTGTGCAAATGGTGCCACATGCAGCGATAAACTAAACGGATTTTCCTGTCGCTGTACATCAGGGTTTACAGGCGAGCAGTGTGACGTAAACATTGATGATTGCGTAGAAAACAGATGTGCCAATAATGCAAGCTGTGTTGACCATGTCTCCTGGTATTCGTGTTCATGCTTAAATGGATTTGACGGAACATTTTGCGAAAATGATATCAACGAGTGTAGTTCATCCCCTTGTTTAAACAATGGCACTTGTGTTGACCTCGTTGCTGACTTTCAATGTCTTTGCCCTGGCAAACTTTTTGGAAAGTTTTGCGAGATTAGCAATAATCCTTGTGAAGCATTTCCTTGCTTAAATGGCGGCAACTGCAAACCCATTAACGCCACTGCGTTCAACTGCACATGCGTCGTGGGCTTCACTGGAGAGATATGCGAAGAAAACGTGAATGACTGCTTGTCCACCCCTTGTCCATTGAACTCCCACTGCGTCGACTTGGTTAACGATTACAAGTGTGTGTGCCATTCATCGCATACTGGGCCCGATTGTAGTATAGGTAGGTTTACTTAGCAATTACATTGTGAGGTCGAGATTTCCAGGACGCAGACCGAATGATTTAAATGTTTTGATGTAAATTCAATAGTCATTCAAAACTTTAAGTCCTCTTCACATGCAGACGCTTCGAAAACGCAAACAAGCGGCCGCCATTTTGTTAGCAACCGCAAACTGCTACTTAATCACTATTTACTTAACAATTGGATTATGACCTCGATATTCAGTCTATTTATTTCTCTGTCGAGGACCTCTCGGTCGATAGTTGCCCCACGGAAATTTGATGTTCTTAAAACAAATATTTGTCCGAGAAGCGAAGCTTCGAGTGTAAAACTATCAGGCCGATAGTTCCGAGACATAAACGCACTATTATTTTTATTGCTCACCACTAAATTTTCTTCCGCGCGCCAGTTCAAAAACCAAATTGAATCATTTTCAACTTTTCTGGATGAAAGCGGTTAAAGCGAAATGTAAAATATAAAAATGAAAAGAGACAAAAACCCACTTAATTGAATTTCAATTGATTATTTTCTTTAAGCCCGCTTGTTTACAGAAACATTTTCACGGACGAGTACTATCCATGCGGGTATTTTCCTCGAACGGGCTCTATGGGCTGATAGTGTCTCTGCGCGGATGAACACTATCGCGTCACGCGATCAATTTAAGCCCCTTTTGCCTCTGATTCACTTATTATTTTAACTTGAACACATGAATTTTATACACTCAATTATCTCCTCTTACTCGATTTTTTATGACAGCTCTTGGCGACAACTTTGATATACTGTTCAATCGCAAGACGTCAACAGATGTTGTAATTGTTGCTGACGAAGGAAACAAATCGAATTTAGCCAACATAACCATAGCTTTCTGGCTGAATGCCGATGAGAATTACCACAATGGTACACCTTTCAGTTATTACGTGCCAGGCTCTCCAGAAGAAAGAATCGAGATCTTTTTTACAGACTCAAAACTTCAAGTCAAGGTCAAAACTGATTCACTTGATGTACCTTGCCGTATAGTCGATGGCAATTGGCATTTTATTGGAGTAATTTGGAGTGGAGATCTGGGTATATTTTCCCTATACCTGGATGGTCAAGAACTTGATAGAGTCGATGTACCTACTGGTACGTCTCTCGTAAGGGGAGGCTACATGGTGCTAGGACAGAAATACTCTTCTAAAACTGGCAGGTACGTTCTAGAGGACTCCTACGCCGGGTTAATGCATCAGTTTCACATATGGCTCACCCCTGGAAGCACCAGTCACATGTGGAATGCTGCTCATAGGTGTGCGTGGCCTATTGGTGGAGATGTGAAGGCTTGGATTGAATTCATATTTGGTTTAAAGGGAAATACCCAGAAGAGATTTCCCACGAGCTGCAAAGGTAAGCAGTGATGTTATCACAGGCCTAGTAAACTTAGGCTATTGAAGTTTCCTTGCTATTCTTGGTCTCAAGATTCCACAAAACACCCTGGCCAGTCTTATACCCAAAGATGGGGCGTGCCCCTTTTCGCATGATAAAACCATGAAAACGAAGATTTTACGTTTCGTATACGTGTCTTGGCTACCGAGGAAAACGTTGTTGTGGTTTTCATCAGGCAGTTACGCCGATTTCTGGGGAATTCTTGTCCATGTGTGATGTTTTAATTGAGGTAAGCGTTGACTTGACTGTTCCTTTTTTAGCGTGTCGAGAAACCCACGGGGTGGGTGAAGGGGGTTGTCTGCTTCTGGTAAATTTTTAGCACTTCCCTGGCATGCGAACATCAAACTCTCCTACATGATTGATAGATCATCTCAGTTATATTTAACTTATAAACACAATACAAGCAGTTGTGAAATTAAAGCGTGAAAAACACAAGCATCCAGGCTCTAACGGGATTCGAACCCATGCTTTAATTTCACTACTGCTCAAGTTGTGAATACATCTGTGATGGTCAATCATGTGTTCATATCAAACTCTTTTATCTGGAATAATACACTGGCATTTATGTAACACGTAGTTCGGAAATAGTCCTGCGCTAGGCCTGAAAGTGAATAATTTTCTACACATCTGACTTAAACAGAATAGCAGTTACTACAAAAAGGACTGGAGCTTCACCCGTTTGTATTCCCCATCTTTCTCAGCTATAATTTCATAATTCCCTTTGCGACCGCTCAACAACCAAAAACGATTGTTTTGCTCCATGTTTTGATCATGTACGACTTTACTGACGACCGCAAAACAGCTGGAAAAGCTGCCATTTGACATGAGCAATGGCGTTATACCTAATAAAAGAAGAATAAATTAAATAAGATTCCTTAGTAGAAAAGTTTAGTAGTTGCATTCCCATTTACACGCAAAATGTTTCTTTACAGCCCTGGAATTGTGTGAAAAGAACTGTTCCCATATAATTGAATGTAAAAACCGTACCGGTGACGAAATGGTTTGCAAATGTGAAGCGGGATATACAGGTACACATTGTGACACCAACATAAACGACTGTACACCAGGCTCCTGTGTCCGTGGGAAATGCATAGATGGCATTAACTCGTACAGGTGCGAATGTCCCAAAGGATTTTGGGGAAGCCGTTGTGAACAGGCTATCAACGATGAAAAGGGTAAATAAGTTGTCCATTGTCACTTGTGTAATTGTTAATCGTAAATCAGTTCGAAAGCTTTTATTGGTAAGTTTGGTTCTCTGTTTTTCAATTGTTTCAAACACATTGCATCTCGTCTGTTTCAAGTTTATCTGTTCTTATGTTTGTCATTCAACTTTACATGAGCTTGGCGTTTCTCGTTTTCCTCAACAGAGTGCGAGCCGTTGGATGAACCAGTGAATGGATATAAACGGTGTATGAGTTACTCGGGAAAGCAAGGATGTACACTGGGCTGTAAAAATGGAATGGCATTTTCCAGTAGCGCTGTTATCGAATACGAGTGTGGACCTGATACAAGTTGGAAATGGAACGGAGAAGTCATCAAGACTCTTCCTAAATGCCTTCGTAAGTATCTAAATCTATATTTTATATGCTCTGTTGTAGTCTGGAAATCTGATGATGACCTAAAACTTTCCTGCTTTTACGTTAAGGCCAGACTAGACCAAGAAACGACATGTCTGGTCAACCCGTAGCTGGCTTAAAAGTGCCATCGTAGTGAGTTTGTTCGTAAATTAGCCTTATATCAATAACTTGATATCGCAAGATATGAGGACAGTACACAGGGTTTCTGATTGGCTAATTGCGAATTTGGGTATGGTATAAATTTAGATCTAAATGCCAAATAAAACCCAGAAGATTCAGCACTTGCCAGAGGGTGATCACT